CGAGTCAGCCCTGACTCATAGCGACCCCTCCTTGGGTTTCCGAGGCAGTATCACTACGGAAGTAGGATTGCCCAACCTTCCTTCCGAGGAGTGGCATTGTTTGTATAGAGGTTGTTTCTATAGTTGGGTGTATATTCAGGACTTATGTTCTTCTGTGTACTCCAGGATGGCCTTACTGTGTTTATCACTGACAGTCCTTCTGGTTGGTGCTCCATGTTGGACTGGTTGTCAAATATTTTGAGTCTCTGTAGATGTGTATGAGTGTATGTATGTACTATATATATTTCCAGAATGTCTTAGGGTTGTTGTTGTTGTCGTTGTGTGTCTTTGATTTGATTCTGACCCTCAGCAATCTTATAGGACAGAGAACTGCCCTGGAGGGTTTCCTGGACTGAAATCGTCCTGGGAGCAGATCCCCAGGTCTTTTCTCCCATGGAGCAACTGGTGGGTTAAACCATAGCGCTTTTGGTTAGCAGGTGAGTCCTTAACCATTGTGCCACCAGGGTATAATGATTAATATACAATAGATTAATATTTATTGATTTATTTAGCAAAATGCAAAAATTAGCAGATCGGGTTACTATAGTTCTCTTCATGAGGTAATTTTTACACATCTTACTCTTCCCTTGGGGATTAGCCCTATTGCAGTAGGTTAACCAAAAAAAAAAAAAAAAAAAAACCACCACTGTCCATTAAGATGCAACTCATAGTGACCCCTCCTTGGATTTCTGAGATAGTATCATTACAGAAGTAGATTGCCTAGTCTTCCTTCCAAGGAGTGGTTGGTGGGTTTGAACCTTCAGCCTTCTGGTTATCAGTCAAGTGCCTTAGGCACTATGCCACCAGAGCTCCTGGTCATTGCTAAATAGAGACCTTTGTTCCTCCTTCCTTTACTGGCCATGCTCTTCCTGGCCTCCCTGACCCCCCTCCTCCAGAGTCCTGTGGCTCTCTACTCCCTCTTGGCTGCTCATTATCCTCGTTGTTATGGCCCTGAGAGCACCTATCTTTCATTATTCTCCAGTTCCCTAGCCCAATGCCCCAGACTATCTGACCTGCCCTGATTTTTCAATTCCATAGGCTGACAACCAACCACCTACCAAGTTTCCTCATTCTTTTCTGAGATTTCCTTTGGATATTATAGGATTCACATAAAAGCTTTTTAAACCTGACCCTTTATGAACTTGAACAGAAAGAATCAGTGCCCATTAGCAGTGAAAGCCAGTGGGGCAGGAAGTCTGCTGAAGCAGGAGTCAGGCTGAGTGTGAGTGGCTTTAAAGACTTGCTGTAAAATAATAATCTGATGTTGCTTTGCTGTTATTATTTATCAAAATGTATTTAACTCTGATGGCTGCCACTGAGATTTGCATTTCCTGCAGATGTAAGCTGGCAAGGAGAGAGCAATAGTCTCCCAGTTCCGGACTATTAAGCTGTCACACAACATCACTTATGTCAGACTATACCCATAAAAGAGACAGAGAAATCAGTCAGAACAGGGAGCATATAAAAATGATTCAAATACATAATTTAAAAACAAATCACAATTTGAAAATGGTTAAGAAATGTTCTTCATATGCTCTGGAAGGTGTAAAGAAGGGGAAAAATGATTGGTTTGCACACAGGATATTATTCAGCAAAATAAAAGTGAGTTGAGTGGAGTGGGTAATACCAGTGAAAGTCATTAATAAGTGATTATTGAATGAATGGATAAATGAAGGAGTAAACAAACAATTTGGATGTGCAAAGAGTTGACTTTAGGTCCATAAATGATTGCTGGTGACCTCTATTACTAGAGATGTGGCCTCTGTCCAATAGGAAGACTGACATGAAAATAAATGTCAACATAGGGTAGTAAGTTTAATGACAGAGCTATTTGCAGTGTTGTGAGAGCACAAAGTAGGGAAAATGTCCCCAGTTTAAAGAGCAGGACAAGGAGCAAGAATTAAGGGTTAGAGAAGGCTTCCTGGAAGAATCATGCCTTAAACAGAACCTGCAACATTGAATCAAATTAATCAAATCACCAAAGAGTCAAGTGTATTCCAGACAGGAGGACACACGTGAACAAAAGGATGAAAGCATGCTACTGGTTGGTGAGTGTTAGAAACTATCAGTATTTTAATATTACTGGGATGAGTGTGGGGCATGGGAAATGGGGAAAGATGAGTTTGGAAATGTAGTTAGGTCATGGAGAGTTTTGTAAGTCATTCTGAAAAGCTGGGTCTTTATCCTATAGTTAATGGGAAGCTGTCAGAGGATGACATGATCAGAACTGAGTTTCAGACTGATCACTCTGGCTGCAGTGTAGACATTAGATTAGAAACAGGGCATGACTTAAATCAGAGCGAAGAATTAGGTGTTGTTTGCTGTAGGGCTGGCAAAGAGTGATGAAAGCTGGATCTAGAATGGAGGTAGGGTTGATAGAAAGAAAAGGATGTATGGAGAAATAGCTAGGAGATTAAACTTTAGGCTTTGGTGATTGATAGACTACAGAAGATGAGGAGGATATGAGAAAGATATTTAGTTTAGATTTATGCCCAAGTACTTAGCTTAGATGACTGAGGCAATGGTGAAGAGTAATAGGAGAGGGATCTTTATTTCATTACTTTTATGGGTTCCAAAGAGGGGGTTTTGCTGTCTTCCCTAAGGGTGGAGAGGCTGATTGTGCATTTATAGGCTCTCTCCACACAAGCATATTGTCCTGAGGTCAGGTGGAGGAAAGACTAATTTGATTGGAAAGCTAGGCTAGAGCCTTAAAGCGAGGGGGCCAGGTTTATCTTTTGGGTGAGTCTGAAGGTCATTTGCTTAAGTATGACACAGACTTCTTCTTTTTTGAAATTTTTGCATCCTCTTGTACTTAACCTTTGTTCATGTATGGTGTGCCTTGTATTTCCAATCTCCAGGTTGTAAGCCCCAACTGGGGAACAAAGTATAGATATATGTACATAGTAGATATATCAGAGTGCTCGTGGCACTTGACTGCTAACCAGAATGCTGGCGGTTCATACCCAGCAG